AAAATCAGTGAAAGGTGGAGGTCACAAAAACAAAAGCAAACCGAGTGGAAACGGCATGACTAGATATCTTAGGGAGCTGAAAATGTGTCAAAACCCAGCCTTTCATGAGAAAGAACATTTAGTAGCTATCTGCAGTGATGAATTTACATCCAAACTCTTTGGAGCTTAAAAATTCACATCATGAGACCAGCTTTTAGTGGAATTAGGACCAGACTTGACATGCCCCAGTTTCCCCAAGGTTACTTTTTGAAATGCAGCTACACTTAAAATATTTCCAGTGCTCTTCTCACACTGCAGAAGAGCAAGCAAAGCCTACCTTCTAATTTTACTGTTTGAGGGGTTTTTATAAGAATTTAACTTCAGCACGTTTTTATTTGAATGACAAAAGGAATTTTGCATTAGACTGCAGGTTGAAAGTTGCTGGAAATGGCAGCGAGACACTGTTATTTATATAAAGTCACTGCAAGGAGAAAAAAAGTTACTGAAGCTTTCTAAACCAAACTTTGTAAAACACCAAAATCACAGAATGAACCAGAAGTAGCTCGGGAGTTGCTAGGGATGTTTCAAGTTAATAAAATTCTAAATTAAATGGCTGCCGCTTAGGTTTGCCAAAAAATTATGCAAATTTCCAAAGTTCATACATAGTAATTAGCACAGCAAAAAGCAGGTCCCAAATAAGTGATGAAGTTAGCCTCGCTCTTATTTTTCCAGCAGATGGAATTAGCTATGTGTGAAGCTATTTTTTTTTTTTTGCAATTGGAGATTAAACATATTATCCTGAATATCAATCCTGCAAGTACAGCATGTTGGATACACGCACTCATGGAAGCAGGAACATGCAAAAGGCAGTCTGAATCCCTCTCTTCCATCATTCTAAACAGGACACTGAAGAGGCTGGGAAGGGGGAGGGTTTACATATTTAAGATTTCATTTTTCAAACTGATTGCTGACAATTTAGTTGAGACAAGTTGTCTCAAAGTACATTTAGAGTTAATAGTCCAAACAGGTTTTTCCGTAGAAAAATGTCTGCCTCGACTAAAAATACGTCCTCTTGATGTGCTAATTGACAGATCACAAAAAGCCATCCAAACTGCAAGTTGAAACAACACATGTAAACAAAAAGTCTCCTGGTTTTGCCCATTACTGCTCCAAAACCTGGTTCACAGGCACATCCATCCTACGTTGGATATCACATACTGTAACATAAATTCACCTTTTCCATTCCTGTTACTGATCTGCCACTTCACACTTAAGAGACACAACCTCCTCCTCAGCTCTGCAGTTCTCCAGCAATGGCTGAGCCTCACGTGTGCCCTTGACCAAAATACCCCACCTGTGTTCCACATTCTGAATTTAGTTTCTCTTAAGAAGTGAAAACAAGCTGCAAGTCTTGCTACACGAATATTACTTTCGGGTAGCCCAGCAAAGACCTCTGGAATCTGTGTGTGCTACAAAAAGAACCCAAATCTCACATAATTGAAGGAACATGGGGAGGGGAAAGCAAAGTTTAACTCTAATTTAAAAGTCAAGTAAGTGACACGCTGGATTGAATGCTATTAACCAAAACTGCAAGTTAAAGGTAGATGTACTGAGAGCAGTAGAAACTCTGCCCGCAACAAAATGAGAATTCTCTTACAAAAATACCTCTGTGGCCAAATGAAACAGAGAGTTTAAGTAAGAAAGCAAGCACTTACACCTATAGTGCTCTCCCCCTCTTCCTTCTCAGCTAGGGAGTCTGATTTATCTCAAAGCAATCAAAAGAAAATACTTTGATTTTTAAAGTCAGAAAAGCTGCAGAAATGAAAGCCCTGTCTGGCACGAACAAATGATATTTCTGAAATCAAAAGAAGATTTTCCAAGTTAGGGGAAGGGCGAAAACAGCCCTGAATAACTTACTTTGCATAGCCCAGTTCCTGCCAAAACAGTTCTGAAATCCCATGGTAGTTCAGATAATTTCCATTCTTAGACAAAAAAAAAAAAAAAAAGGCTAGATTGAACATTAGCAACATTAATTGTGTGATATGACCTGAATGATGCAAGAACAAGTAGTTAAGTGAACCACAGCATCTGCTGAATTTTTAATCACTAGTTGTTTTGCTGCAAGGCAGAAGAACACTGTATATTAGCTTCCAAGCTCTGCACAGAATGGCACATTAGGACAGCAGGATTTAAACTGGCAGGAATTCTGCCTCCCTGCTACCTAAATGCCATCACTTCGCTGTGAACTGCAGACAGAGCAGCTTCTAAAGCGGGATTATTTTTTAATCACATGGGGGGGGGAGGGAAAAGCCCTGTTTTCTGCACCCCAAGATGCCGGTCGGCCATTTCTGAATAATATATTTAATTTTTTTTAAAGCTGACATTTTCTTAACAGCCATCTATGCGTCCCTACGTAGGGTATTTTTACTTTCCAAACAGCTCTAAGTAGTCATGTGGCTGCCCAGCAGCAACTTGCTGCCAAAGAGGTAGCTGAACCTCCAGTGTGTAGGAAGGTGATCTATGTAAACATTCCTATTAGCTCTGTACTGCACCAGGAGGAGCAACTGCAACATGTTTAGGCACACCTGAGCTATATTTAATCCATCTTCCTCTGACATCCATTGCAATGACGCTGCAGACGCCCAAATTTGGACAGCCAGGTCATGGTACCATTGATGAGAGTCAACAAGCCCATCCTGTACCCACACCAGCCAGTCCTGCTGGGATTTCTCTGTGTCTGACACCCAAAATAGCCAGATTAAACCAACCACCCTGCCTACAGTGGTAAATACAGCTCCAGCTATGCTCTAGGCATGAAACTGCAACAGCAGGATTAGCAAGTGATACAGCAGATATCCCCCTTCCACAACAAAGACAAAAAGAGAAGAGTTATTTGGGGGATAAACACTAATTCCACAACTACAATGCAAATTCCAAACAAATCCCACAATTACAGCCAGGATCTGCACTAGGGGCAATGATCCTGATTCAAATTTTAGGGGTCAAAAAAGAGGACATTTTAAGAAAAGGACAACATTCGTACATTAAAAAGTCTGTCACACTGACTTTAACAGAATCTATGTTTAATAAGTTAATAGAATCAAAACAGCTTAGAAAACAAAACCAGCAAAATATGCTACAAATAAAAACGGAGCAGCCACACATACCAAAGCAGCATTCCTGTGCCCCCCTTCCTAGAGAGCTTACAGAGCCAGGAAGAGGATCTCTAACCAACAACTTTCACTAAACCAAGGTCTCCTTCAAAAGCTTAAATGTACAGGAACACCCAGTGATACATCTGATGACCAAATAATCCACAAGAGCCAAAAATCCCAGCAGACAAGGGCAAGAGAGATGCTTCCCAAGATACACTATCTTTAATGACAGGCTTAGGATCAGTCCTACATTTTCCTTGCAGGCTGAACTATTCAGGTACAAGAAAAGCTGCTCTCTTCTCTGAAGCCAGGTATCAAACCTGCAACAGGAATATTAAAATATGCCATGTCTGCTGGGAATACAGCCATCAGTGTGTGAGGATTATACCAAAATGCTTGTTTGGCTCTGCTACAGGGCAGTGAGAAGTGAAAATAACATGTTATGATGAATGTGTTGACACCTGGAACCTCAGGGTCAGTTATTACCTCGGTAGTATCGTGCATACACTATACAGTATTCAACTTCACATCACCAGAAACTTAACTTGGCACCTCCATCCCCCAAAACCACAGTCCTTCCTGGAAGGGGAACTACAGGCCAGCCTCTGTGAACACCCACAGCATGCTACAAAATGAGCTTCCAAACTGAAGAGACACAGAAAGACGTTTTATACCCTATAAGACACTTAGTTGCAGCTCAGCACTTGACAAGCCACTCACAATTCCTCACGACCCCTCTCTAAACGGAGAAAAGGTTTTAAAGAGCATTTAGTGCAAGTGAAACATCCCCAGCTTTCACCTCAGCCTCTGCTTGTTCTCCAATTAAATACAAAAGAGACAACTTAGTCATACAGAGCACGCAGGATGGTTTTAAGACAGTGGTATTAAATCAAATCCCACAACTTTTCACACCTATTAAAATGTTACTTTGTCATTAGCAGGGGAGATTTTGATAAGCGCGACGCAATTAACAGACACTGCCTTTGTTGCCAGGCTGCTCGTGATGAAGCCCAGGCTCCCTGACATTCCATTTCTTCCCCTCCAAAGCCCTGTGCTATGGCAAATTTATGGTTTTTAGCGTGTAAGAGGAGAATTGGGCATGTTACCTTCAAAATCAGTCAATAAGGCTCTTTCACTCGGGCCCGGGGAAGGCGGGTGGCTGCTAGAAAGCAAGACAAGGCTCTCCCTTCCCCCTCCCCTCAGGACCCAAAAACGCTGCGTTCAGAACACTCCCATCCCCTGCAGCAAGGGATTAGCCATTTATTAAAAAGGAATCAAAACACTGTAAAAGGCTTCCAGTTAAGATTTCAAGGAAAAAAAAAAAAAAAGAAAAAAAGAAAAAAACCAAAACCCCAACACAACACCCATGGAACCAGATTCCCATTAGGAATTCTTCTGAACACCGAAAGAAGGAGCAGCTCAAGCCTGAGCAGGATGTCATTTGTCCGGACAACGCTGATCAAATGGTGCAAAAGGAGGACAGAACTAGATTAATTTTTTTTCAGTCAGTCATTTTGCTGCCTCCACGTTGAGCAGCAACAACGTTCACAACCTACAGGCATTTACTGGTTTAGACTTTGGACTTTCGAAACCCCTGCCTACCTCCACGCTCGGCTTTTAGGGTTTTTTTTTTTTGGCTCTTCTCTAGGGGTGACAGACAATTATAATGGCCAATTATGTAAAACCCTTCATCCGAGAAAACACGGAGCACTACGCAAACACTCATTAGGACTCGCGACCCGAGTCTGCGCCCGCACGTTCCCGGGTTCCACAGCCACCCTGGCTATCCCCAAAACTGGATTCCCAGCGCTGTGGCACGGCCAGGACAGCGCTCGGCAGGGCAGGGTCAACCACTGGAGTACTCACACAGCCTCGCAGGCGGGTTTTGCAGCCCAGGCTGCCAGAGCTGAGCTCTACAGCCCCATCCAAGCCGGTTATTTAAAAGCAGAGCAGGGACGTACGCGGCTGTTGGGCGTTGTACGAAGCACCTCGCAGGACAAGCCTTAGATCCACTTCTCCGGCTGATACAAGGAGATTTCTCCAACTGGAAGCGGCACTGCGCAAGCCAAAAACCTCGGTTTACTGAAGAAATTAAAAGCTACACTGTTTCGAGTAAGGCCTTGGAGGAAGTAATTCCGAGAAGAAATCACTTCCACTGCAATTGTACTTTTAACCTTTCCTTAGGTTCTTACGCCGCCCCCCACGTGAACACGTTATTCAAACGTTATCACAACATCTAATAGCGATTAAAGCTGTCTCTTTGGGATCGCTGTTTACGTTTACCGAGTTCACAACCCCTCCCTGCGAAGGGCTTGATCGATGCGTGAAACACGGGGTGGGGGGGGAGCCGTGCGGTAAAAGAAAAAAAAAAACCAGGACCAGGAAGTGACCGCAACTCGGTTGAGCAAAATTTAGGGGGGGGAGGAATAAGTGCAGGGGAAGGGAGGGGGGTTTTTGAAAAGCTAGTCCGCAGAAGGCAGAGAGCGGCGGGGCTTGTCCCCACGGCCACGCGTGGGGCGGTCGCGTTACGCAACCGCGGGGGGGACGGGGATGCCCGAGCCCCCACGGTGACCCGGTGCGTCGGGTGCGGGTGGCGGGGGGGACGGGCCGCTCCGGGCCGGGAGAGCCGTGGGAGGCGCTGCCAGGGGGGCAGGGCAGGGCAGGAGAGGAGCGCGATAAACCCCCCCCCGGGGAGAGGCGGGCGCCGGGGGGGAGCGTTAAACGACCGGGTAAAAATAACGGCGGAGCGGAGCGCGGGGGCGCGGAGCCCTCGGGCGCGGCCCCGTTCCTGCGGGCGGGCAGCGGCCCCGCCGCCGCCATGGCCGGCGGAGCGCGGGCGGCCCCGCTGGCCGCTCGGCCCGCCCACCTGCCCCGCACCGGCCGGACCCGGCACCCACCCACCCACCGACCCACCGCCGCCGCGGAGCTTACCCGGAGCGGGCCGGAGCACGGGCACCGCGGAGCCGCCAGGCTCGGCTGGGGCTGGCTCGGCTCGGCCCGGCCGGATCCCCCCTGCGCCCGGCGGCGGCGGAGGAGCGCGGCGGCCGGCGCCAATCGGGCGGGGAGCGGGGCGGGACGCGGACCGGCGGGGAGGGACGCGGGGAGGGACGCGGGGCCGCCCCCGCGCCGCGCCAGGCACCGGCCGCCCGCCGCGCCAGGCACCGGGGGCTCGGCTCGGGGCGCTGCCCGTTCCTCGGGACTCGAGCCCCCCCCGTGGTGCCCCGCAACCCCCGCTGCTCGCCCCGGTGTGCCCGGGCTCGGAGCGCCCTGCCCGGGTTTGGCGACCAACGTGGCACTGGGAGCCGCGGGGGTGCTGGTTCTCGGCCCGCTCGGTGGCACCGGCAGGTTAACGTGGTGGTAACAGGCTAAAAACCTACACGGTCCTCTGCGGGAGACCAAAAACTCGTTGGAGAGAGCTCCTGGCTTTGAAATCTGCGGAACTCCCGACTGCAGGGCCGAAAGAATCACAGGATCAGTTAGGTTGGAAAAGACCTCTGAGATCATCGAGTCCAACTGAACACCACCACCGTGTCAGGTAGACCGTGGCACAAAGTGCCACATCGAATCTTTCCTTAAACACCTCCAGGGTGACTCCACCACCTTCCTGGACAGCCCATCCCAAAAGAGCTGCTGGGAGGTCACTGAGAGTGTCCCTCGGTACTGAAACCTCACCAGAGCCGTGCTAGCCTTGCCAGCTTGTTTTGCCAACGTTGCCTCCCCGGGAACAATCACTAAATATCCTTTTGCTGTCATCTGTCCTTGACAGTGGAAAACACGAGCTGCTGTTCCTGGTGTAGATTATCCGAGGAGGCACAGCTGTGCAGACCCGGGCAGTGGTTTGTCACGCAAGTGTCACCCCAGCCATCCTCTCTGTGCCATCCTGGTGAAGGCTCAGCCTGCAGGGAGAAAGAAACGGGCTCTGGAGAAATCCTTCTAAACCAGAGGTATCAAGAACAAGCAAGAAACACAAAGGGAAGGCATTGGAAAAAGGGGAATAAAGGGGCGGTACCAGCTGATGGCTTGAGCCTAAAGGGGTTCCTGCAAGAAGGAGCTTCCCCTCTCCTTAAAAGATTTTGGCAGTTCACTTCCAGCTGGAGGGATGTGGGCAGGGATGGAGGTCCCCACGGAGGACCACCTATGACTCAGGGGGAGGGCAGTGTAGCAAACCAAAAGGGCCTGGTTTCTCTCACACCTGAGAGAACAGCATGAAGCTGTCAGGAGAGGTTTAGGTTTGATCTTAGGGAAAGGTTTTTCACCCAGAGGGTGGTCGAGCACTGAACAGGCTCCCCAGCACCAGTTCTGCCAAATTGAAGAAGCATTTGGATGATGCTCTCAGGGACAGGGTGGGATTGTTGGGGTGTCCTGTGCAGGGCCAGGAGTTGGACTTGTTGATCCTTGTGGGCACTTCCAACTGAGGATATTCTATGATTCTATGATTCCCTGACCTGCAGGAGGGCAGCACTACTTACTCTGTGTAATAGAATACTGTGAGGAGATCCTTGAGGCTGTTCTCAAGCTAAAAAGCAGTCTAAGTGTGTCAGCACAGCACTGTGATAGTCCTGAGGAGGGGCAGAGCTAATTAGCCAAGGCCCAGGATCACATTAGCATGGATTCTCAGATGGCTGAGATGAACCTCCCAAAGTCTCTGGAGTCCCTATTGACTACAGCCACTACATCCAAAGACAAAGCGAGGGCAGGAGGGAAGATAGAGGTAAAATGAGTTGCTGAAGGTCAAGTATTAGATCAGGAGAGAAGAGAAATCAGACCCTACAGTTCCTCACCCCTCCAGTACTTTCTCCTCTGAACTGTAACAAAACCCCAGAACAACAAGGGGATTTAGCTGCTGCTGACACAGGAGCTTCCTGTGTTCCAGGGAAAAATTCTGTATTTTGGTATAAGACCAAATGCACACGGAAAAAAAACCTCTTTACTAGCATGGCCCCACAGTTCAGTGACATACAGTGACACACAAGATATCACCAGATGACTTAAAGGGAAATGAAATACATGCCCTGTCATATTAGAAAAAGGCCCCACAAAGGTACAGCCCCAGTCTTTTGTTGTAAGTTGATAAAGACAGAAAACTGCCATTTGCTGCTAAGTGACTCCTAATGATTAAACAACCTTTCTCCTCTCACCCCCTCGGGGCAATCAGAGATAATATAAGAAAGATCTTGCACATTGTTTAGCTTACATGGTCATCTGGTCCTTCTGAATTTCAGTAGCCTTGAACATTAAAAAAAAAAACAATAGATAAAGAAAACCAGTCCTATCCTATGGAGACCTGGAGAAGTTTAACTCTGTCAGAGTACACAGGATTAACCAAGTCCTTACAGCTCTTTTATTGCTTCCATCTTGATTAACAGTCATATTCGTCACAGCTTTGTGTTGTCCTCTGTAAACTGAGCTGTTCCTTACTGACACTGTTTCAACGACGAAACACAGCTCCAGCAGTTGCATCTGGCTTCTGTAGCTGTTCTGATCCTGGGCAATGGAGACACAACAGAGGCACATGCTGAGAAAAATACGTACAGGTTTTCAGCCAAAATTTAAAACCAATATTACTAGAAGTCTTGTGTGAGGAGGGAAAAGGGTGCTCTTTTCAAAGGAAAATGCAGCAGTCTTGGCCTAACTCAGAAACCTTCCTGCTGCTGAGACGTCACCTAATCCCACGGCACTAAGCAGTTTCTTCATCTGCTTTTGCTCAAGGGGATAAAAGCACAATTCCCCCAAAGTAACCTGCTCCAAAGTCTCTGGAAACAACAAAAAGTTTGGTTTCAACTCAGCTTATGGTTGGCTTATGGTTGAATCCAGCACTTGTTCTGGGGTTAATTCCTGCTCCACTCCTCCCGGTGGAAGAAAACCAAGAAGGGTTCAGTCTGTTTGGAAAGAATGTGATTTCCTTAAGAATGTGGCTTTGGGCCTTGTAGGAAGAAGCCAGCTGAGGATGCTTTCACCTGTAGTGCTGGAGCAGGCTTTTGACTGAAATCTGTATCAGCAGGGAACATTCAGTGTAAACACACTGTAAATAACAGAGGATGTACAGGTATGCTGAGGCAAAAACCACTCAGGCTCTGTTCCCAACTGCACTTGTAACATCGCTAGTTTGCATTTTAGGGAGAGCAGGGAGCTTATAAATGTGCTGCAACATCCAGCTTTTGGGTATCAGCTGCCAGAGTGCAACAGAATACCCAGAGTCAGGTACCTCGTCCTTCTATTTATAGCCCAGAGAGTGTCAGACACTTCCCAAGGACGAGTGGAAACTCCCACCTGCCAAGCAGAGAGACCTGGGAGAAGGAAACATCAAAGGAGGGATGTATTAGACTTGCTTTGCATAGCCAGTGTGTAGGTGTTTCCATCAGCTCGGGATCCTGGGCCCACACATCTGGGGTTTCAGAATCTGTCAGCACTCTTTGAAGGATCAGAGCAAGGACAACAATTCCTGTTTAACACCGTGGGTGTCAGGGTTGCATCTGATGTTTGTTATATGTGTTGATTTAGGTGGTAGAGAAATACCCAGGAAAGGGAAGACTCTCTCCAAACCCATCCAGGTGAGAGTCCAAATGTCTCTCTACCTGCTTGGACCGTGCCCTCCTCCAGGCTGAGGCATTGAGGGTTTGCTGGGTGGTTACCTCACACTCCTGGTAGAAATGGGCTGCAGCAAAAAAATAAACCTCAAAGAACAGAGCAAGAGGCTTAACTGTGTTTCCTATTTGTTGTAAGACAGGAATTTCACTTCTATTCACACTTACAATTTGTTCTGGTTTTTAAACTAGCGACCATTTCAGATGAAAAGCAGAAGTGGGGACAGCAGCCAATGCATCATAATGATTCTGCTGTTCAATCCTTGATTGAGAGGTTATCAATAAAATTTGACAGGAGGACACTCTGTGCCCTCTGCAGCATCACAGTTTGCCTACAGAGGATTTTCTTTGACTCCATGCAAGTGGCTGTGGGCTACAGCTTTATAATTCCATTTGC